GGAGACTATTGGCTGAAATACTAGAATGTTACATAAAATAGTAGATGTCAAGGAGGACAGGAATGTGATTGGCTATTTCCTACATCCGCTCCCTTTGCTTGAACACCTCTCATACTATGTCTGCTTACCGATGCATCAACACTTAAGGAAATATGTAGCAAGCAATAGCCAGTGTCAAGCTGTTATATTACCAGAGATAATTTGTAAGACTTAAGACTCCATGTTATGAACTAAATAAGCTCTTTGACCTATTTTTTTCTGCTTCCAATGTAACAAGCTCTCAGCAGCAAGATCTCAACCTTCTATCACATAGAAACCCTTTTAAATGTGTGATCAGGAGTCCACCACAGATAACAGTATTCAAGGATCTTTCATTTTCATCAGATGGAGAGTGAAAGCAGTCTGTAGTTTTTAGCTAGATGGTCTCACTAGTTAAGTTTTCCCTCAATGAATTCTTTGCTGTTTGATGGAGTATGCTTTTCCTCTATAACAGAAACACAGATTTTGGTGTCTTTTATTTTCACAGTGGCAAACAGCTATAAAATCTTCAAAAAGAATGTTACTGGATTAAAACATATAAAGATGCTAAAAATATTGAGGAAAAACTATAATTTAAATTCAAAGAGTAATTTTATATGTGACAATCTCATGCCTGAGTCATGAATATAAACAAAATATTACGTTGGTTCTTGAGGAAAACAAAATAAAACAAAACAAAGCATAAGATTATAGCAAACATTCTAATGTGTATTTGTGGATAATGTTAGCAACACTGATGGGACATAGTGATCAGATAGCAGCTGTGTATAAAAAAAATTAGGGCGTCCACCCATCTTTACTTCTATCTCTGTAAGTTTGCAATCTATTCCCTAGAGTGAGAAAACAACAGCAAATAAAAAGAGAACTAAACACCGTGGATGAAAATGGACTTGAGCATATCTCAGAGAGAGTAGAATATTGTGGAGGAAAAAAGACAAAGAGGAACTTTGTCTCTCTCCTTGTAGACTCTCATGGTATCAAAAGAGAAGGGGTGTAACCCAGACAAATTTCTGAGTCGTGTATACCACAGACGGAAAGTTCCCACAGAAGTCTTGCAGGGATGAAGGCTCAGAGAACAACCTCAGCTTCCTTACAATTAATCCTTATCATGTTCAATAAATATCGTTGAGGATATGCTGGTATGATCTAGCTGTCTGAAAAGTGACCAGACATGGACAGTTGTCATTTTGGTATTGGAAATGATTATTTTTTTCTTTCTGAAATATTTTTCTAATTTTCTTCGAGGCGTGTGTGTGTGTGTGTGCATGTGAGAGAGAGAGATGTCCAAATATTTCATTTTACCTGTGAACATATCCAGTTGTGTCATGCTAGATAAGATTTTTTTAAGTGTCTCAGGGAATATCAGTCTCACTAAATATAGTAGTCCACAACAGAGTTCCATAGACAAATGAAGTTAGGTTGCTGACTTTCTTACAGATTCATAATATTCATTTGCATTTCAAAGGCGTGTAAGAATTCTGAAGATGCTTATTTAACTGTATTTAATCCAGTGTTTTCAAAATTAATTTGGCTGTGTAGTCTGTTTGTGCAAAACATTTTGGTAACCCGCAGAATCACATCCCATAAAACACATGTTGGGAAATGATTATCAAAAAAAATTATTTTGAGAATAACGGACTAATGGCTGGGTATTTTGGAACCTCTGCACATCTCATCTACCAATTGATTTTGCTACAGGGTATCAGTGGGAGAGGATTCCTCTGAGTGGCAGTAACCAGGAAATAAGAAGACAGAAGGAAAGGATTGCTGAACAACCTCTCAAAGAGGAAGAAGATGAGGACAGGAAGAACAAAGCTCATCAGGCAGCTGAAATTGAATGGCTGGGATTTCAAAAACCCAGCCAAGCTGACATGTTACATTCTAAACATGAGGAGGAGCAGAAGGCTTGGGATGAAGAAATTAATAATGATGATGATGATAATTATGATGATGATGAAGATGAAGTTCGAGTGATAGAATTTAAGAAAAAACATGAAGAGTTTTCTCAATTTAAAGAGGAAGGTGATGCAAGTGAAGACTCCCCACTGAGCAGTGCCAGTTCCCAAGCTGTGACCCCTGATGAGCAGCCACCCTTAGGAAAGAAGAGTGATATCTCCAGAAATGCTTATTCCAGATACAATACAATATCCTATCGAAAAATCAGAAAGGGAAATACCAAGCAAAGAATTGATGAATTCGAGTCTATGATGCATTTATAAACTAACTGGAACTGAGAAAATCTCATGCACACTAAAGGAAAAGCTAATTCTATTGTCCCAGTGTGCATATTTCTATGCCTTATTTGAGTTATCACCTGAAAAGAGGTGGAAGTTGACTCTCTTTTTTCACTGTAGAATAATGTGGAAATAACCCTAGATAAAATTCAGTCTGATAACCTCAAATCAAAAAGCTTTAGATTCATTCTTGGGCATTTGTCTTTTAAAACGTCACTAACATAGCACTATGTGATAAGCACTAAGCAGTCAGTCCCCTGGGGGAATATGGCATAATTTGGCTATAAATGTAACAATGCTTGGAAAGGTAGTCATCAAATGAGACTATTTGAGGGGACTATTTGAAATGATTTTTATATTTCTTTCCGTGTCTTTTTTCTTGTACATCGGAGTGATGGAAAGCCTGATATTAAAACCTCTCTTACATTTAAACACGGTTTTGCTGACTCTGGCAAATAAACCTTCCCAAATTCTTTGCCTTTTCTATTATCATCAAACAAGATTTCAAGTGACTTTCCTTGGCATCTACAGAGAGAAAATTCTATCAGCCTCCTTCCTAGGTGTTACCATTCACTGAATCTTCTCACAGAGGGGGATGAGCAATTGTCAGTCAGGAGAATTCTGTTTGCTAAATGTTGCCTTTATGCTTTCAAACTGAATTAAACCCATTGTGAGGTTAACATGGGAGGGGCTAGAAGATTGGTGGGCAGCAGACTAAAGAGTTATGTTGGATAGTTTTATTTCTGTAGCTGAAAATAAAATCTCGTCTAGCACAGTTAAAGTCATTAAAAATAAAAATGACAGCTTTAGCACAATTTTAAGAAAATGCCCCTCTCTATTACCACATTTTCTCTTATTAACAGTATCTCAGAATAATTTTCTTTCCTTAGAAACCTGGGACAACGCTAGTCATAACTGTACTAGTTACTATGAAAGTGGAAATAATTATCTTAGAATATTTTCAAAGTAGAGTGTGAGCATGTATTTTTAGTGAGAGAGCTCTGATAGTTGTTGGGAATATATAATTTACTGGACCTCAGCCCAAATCAAGATGCTTAAAATTGTACTTGTGGAGCTTCACTCAAACCAATGTGTCAAATAACGTACTGAATATTTATGAAAAGAGAGACTATATTTATATTCTTAGATAGTTGGTTCCACAATTTTTCACTGCATGCTTCCATATATATTCCTGAACTTTCTATCACCACAGATAAAGATTTTTTTTTTGCCCTGCATATAAAAAGACAATTCCTTATTGTCTGAATGTAATACAGTCTTCATTGTACTATTCAACCCTTTGTTTATTTCTTTTTCATTTTGTGAAAAACTCCGGGTTAGTCCTCTTAGATGACTGCTTATTTATGTGTAACATAAATCCCACATATTCTAGTGACAACTTCTTTAATTCTTTCCGGTCACATATTTCCATAGTATCACATACTATTATTTGGTTGTTTACAAAATTCAAATTTGAATTCAGGATTGCAGTGCTCCTTTTATTCTTTCTAACAGATACCATATAAAAGTTATTTTACCCTCATTCTATACATCCTATAGATTTCATTGGTTACAATGTCAGTTTCCAGAATAAACTGAGGGAAATCAGGATTTTATTGATAAAGTTAGGGAGAAGATTGAGGCAATAGGACAATTTCCAGTTTAATTTAAATCCTCTGATTTTTCTGCCTGGACAACCTGCTTTTTTTTCTGGGTAACTGACAACCCCTACAATTTTCCACTTAACTTCAAAACACAGTATTGTGTTATCTAGCACAAAACAGGACCATGTTTCTAACCTACCATCAAGACCCTGTATTTTGAGTTATTCCAACAGAGATGATGAACTCCTATAGGACTAGAGGTGGGACAGCTATGGCTATGTGGCATGGCAAAGCAAGTAGCTCTAATGGGACTCCAATACATGCTAACGCCGGTCCTCTTAGGTCTGTGCTCTTACCAGGCAATGAATGACCTATGAAAGATGTAGTCAACAGAAACTATTTTAGAGTATGTTTAGTTAGTAAATGCTTCATGTTGATGGACGATGCAATGTTTCTGCAAAAAAGCCCTGAAACTATTCATTGGCGTTGGTGTCCATGGGACTACATCTTACATGAAAGCCACAGAGTTAAGTGATCTCAGGTAACATAATGATGACGGTTGGCTATTTGAGTCTTTGTAACCTAGGAAAGACAAGGGTCTGATTCAGATTGCAGGGGATATTTAACATGTTTGAAACTCAGTTGGAACGGAACACGATTAAGAACACAACCTGGTAGCCACACATGAAGGTTTACTGGAGCTTTTGTGATTCAAAGTTCAGGGGTCATAAGGACTCTGGTATCAGGGAAGAGGGAGAATTAATTTATTGTGCAAATGCTGGTATTTCTTACATGACTTTTTGTTTTCCTTTGTCGCTACATGAACAGAAACTAATAATAGCTCTATTTCTCTTCCAATATAAAATCTTTTATATAATGCTACATTTGAAGTCACAGAATTTGCCAGTATTTCTTTCTCTCCCTTTACCTACCTATCTACAATTTAAATAAAGAATTGCTGTGTCTGACTTACTCTCAATAAAAGTTTGTGTCTTTATTTCTGGTTTATAGACTAGGATTGTTTAGCTGCCTTTTAAAGTTTGGAAAGAATCCTTGTATATCAGCAGCTACTAAGATAATTAATAAATGCCTCTTCGGAAATCAAGGGAACACTTTATTTTAATTCTTTTGCATTATTTATTTCAAAAAGATCTTAAAATAATTGTATATAAAATTGTAAAAAGGATTTCTGGTAGGTAGATATGTAATATACATGAAATATTTCTATTATTTTTTAAGGAACTGAGATACTGTTTAAGCTACATCTTAACATGAACAAATTGAAAAAAATCTCTGTAATCATCAAAGTAGTACATTTAAACTATGCCGACATCTTTATAGCAATTGTTCTGCATGTTTACATGGAATAGTACTATTGGCACATTTTCAAATGGACAATCAACATTTAAGTTTTTCAGTGTGATGGGGAAACTTTTAAAATAAGTAGCAATAGAAAATTATGGAGAAGGATGAAACACCAGAGCATAAAAAAGAAGAAATATGTTTGACAATATGAGAAAGGCAACCACTTCTCTTAAAACTTGAACTTTCATCACTCTAAAAAAATAAGAGGACTGTAAAATGCAATGTCAAAAATTATATTTGCCAATACTGAAATATAGGACAGAAACATAACACAATGAATGGGTTACTGATAACTCCTACAATATTCTACTTAACTTCAAAACTCAGTATTGTTTAAAGACAATGAAAATGTGCGTATAGTTCACGGAGATGATGAAGTAACTGAGCCAGGCCATCAATACAAACACAATTACATGGGTAGTAACAAGCAGCTGAACTCACTCAAAACACGGCAAACTGCAAAATGAAATGATGATTTCTAGTAGCTAACTGCCAGCACAGGAGAGTTTTGGAAATGAATTTAGAAAGCAATTTGGATTTCTATCTAGAAATATAAAGTTACATACTTGATTCCTTCTTTATAATAAGTTCAGTTGATCAGATGCAGAAAAAAAGTACTTAAAAATGGTTAATTCCAACATCCTTTATACTCCAAGTTTCTATTTTTAGTCTCCCCTTAGCAAATGTTTTCAGGCGATCCTTTAAAAAATTCACTCACTTAATCTTTGGATTATCTTGTTTGTAGCTAATATGTATAAAACTAGCAAATTTGGGGTACTTGCTTGAAGGAGAAGAAGTATGTGTAATCTTAAACTGAAAACAAGCACCCTGATAATGGAGAATTTGATTACTCCTTCAAGTTGGAAAATGGTATCCAGAGTGAAAGTTCATTTGGGATACTTTTGTGCAGCAGGCCAGATGCAGACAAAGCTATACGCCTGAAAGACTTTAAAATATCAAAAAACATTTAATTTTCTTTATGTTGTGAGTAGAAACTTGAAATTTCTTTCTTCCAGTTCAAAGTATCAAAAAAATATGTAAATATATATACATATACAAACATACACTATATTCACAAAAAAATTGATGTTTTTGAATGGTCAGTTAAAGATGTATTTATGCTATCAAACGTTTTAATCTAGCATCTAATATAAAGGCTTTATTATATAGATACTTATGACCAATATCCTTAAACTAGTAAATATCTGTCAATCAATAAAAAAAAAATAGAAAGCTCTTGTTTCCAAAGAAATTATTTATTACTTATTTGATGGCAACTCATTATTAGAAACTCAGCATATTAGAAGTTGCCATATTTGCTAGAAAATGAGGATTTTCCCTTGTGTTTTGTTTGTGTTTTTACAAAGCAAAGATCCACATAAACTTGCAGAGGGACCCTAATTGAAATGATTGTTTCATTAGGTTGAAAACAGAGGCATTAAATCTGCTTCTTGTGATGTTATTGGTTTCTTTCTTTTAGACACAGACACCACCAACACCTGAAATAACAGTCCATTAAGCCTCATCAGGGATATATAATACTTTATATGGCTTATTCAAAACTGTCCATGGAATGGCCATTTGTCAAAAAATAAATATTTGTACAATAGCTCTGGTTAATGTTTCTTTTCTAATTGTAAGGCATTTTGTCTTGTAGCAACTATTGAGTAACCCATGCAAAAGTTGCTGCAAAAGCACAGTAGTGACAATCTACACAATGAGTAGAAATAAAACGTCATGGCTTGTGTTTTAAAGGACTCCAACTTTTTAACTTTTTATCTCTGTTCATGATGAGCAACTGCCAGCTTTGTTTAAAGGTTGGAGGAATCAAGAGTTGGTAATATTAACACAGGCATCATTAAAAATTTATTTTAGGCAGTTAGAAATGGTAAAATAGCTCAGTCGCTTTTTTCTTTAATAAAAAGCAGCCCAAAGCATTTCTTTTCTAACAGAAAGCAGCCTGAAAACTCAAGTTGCAACCATAGATATGCAAGCTAGAGGCTTGCATATGTAAAACTAACAGCTGTACCTGGAAGCCAGGCACACTGAACATGGGAATCCCTGCTCCCTTTTCCTTGTCAGCACGCTTGAGGGTGTCATGGCATCACTGCACCAGCCAGGTAAAGCCATTGTGCAGGTGTCATTGCGACAGCCAGGTAGTAAAAGATTGCATAGTAAAAGATTAGGGAGTGCAGTGGCTGATCTTGGCTGACTACAACCTCCACCTGTCCAATTCAAGGCAATTCTCCTGCCTCAGCCTCCCAAGTAGCTGGGATTATAAGCGCCCACCACCATGCCAGCTACTTTTTGTATTTTTAGCAGAGACAGGGTTTCACCATATTGGCCAGGCTGGTCTTGAACTTCTGACCTCATAATCTGCCTGCCTTGGCCTCCTAATGTGCTGAGGTTATAGGCGTGAGGCACCATGACTGACTGGCCAGCAAAATTTCTTTCTTGTATTCTGAATATAGGAATTCAGCCAGAGATGTTAAAACGAAGCAAGATGGTACTGTCTGTCATGTTTCAACCTCCTTCTATTGCATGAATGTCCCCTAAAAATAATTATAAGCCATTAATGAAATTAAGGTTGGTTGGGAATATTGAGCTCCTACACACTGAAAATGGTATCTTTGCCCCTCTGCAGTCCCCAACTAATACTAGAAGCAAGGTGTTTTAATATTGAAAAGAATGTTTCCAAATAAGTATGGTGAAGCTAATAATACATTGTGATCATGGCACATGGTGGTTTGCTGTAAATGACATCTGAGGGATGTCAGCAAGCAGTATTGAGCAAATTTGATGCTGGTGATAAAACACGGTTGTACCAACAACAGCTGCGTCAGTTTACAAGAGAGTAGGGCAGAAGTGCTGGGCAACTGTTGAAAAAGAGAAAGAGATTATGCAAACTGAAAGTCTCAGAAGCACTTAGATGGCTTGGTAAGTTGGTTAGTCCTGTTAAATATTAATAGGACTACCCTTGTATTCAAGGTAACAAGATGCGTAGACTTTTTTTTTTTTTTTTAAGAAAAGGCAAAGACCTAAGCTAATACAGGGAAAAATCTGTAACTCCTATCACACAGCCCCCTATTGAATAATTCAGTGCTGATTAGGACCTGTCTCATCCAGAGGTTTATCATTAGAAGTACCAAAAGACCTAGTGGCATTGATACTTTTATTCCAGTCTCCTGAAAAAATTTAGAAGGCAATGCTTAAGAAAATGGTAGTAGATTTCATAATCAATCAGTAAACTCAAGGTTAGGCCTATATAGATTCCCAACTAGTGATAAGTTTCTTGCTTCTTAGAGTAACTAAGCAAATATATGATAAAAGCAATTTATAAAATTCTATTCAAGAACAAATTTGTGATGTTCAAAAACAATCCTTTGTTGTATTGACAATGTAGATTTAAATATAGCTTTATGCAGTAAGTATGTCAAGGTAAACTCAGAAAGAATGTGAACTGAACAGATGGTTCTGTTAAGGAAAACAATCTAACCTCCTTTAGCTGATATATCCAAAGGTAAGTGTGTTTAAAACATAATTCTTTTTTTTTTTTCAGAACAGAGTTGATTTCTTTGTGGAAACTATTTTTGGAAAAATAAAGAGCCTATATATCAGGGGGAAAAAACCTCTCAACATGTTTTAGTTACATGAAGAGTTACATGAGGCACTTAGTATATTCAGTTTGTCAGTGACTCAATTAGTCTTTTGGCAACTGACTTGTGTCCCTCCCACCCCCTTTCCCCATATGGCTCTGTTTTGAAAAGAATTACAGTCATGCATCATTTAATGACACAAATACATTCTGAGAAATGTGTCATTAGGCAATTTCATCACTGTGTGAACATCAGAGTGCAGTTACACAAACTAGATGGTGTATGTAACCTACTTCACACCTAGGCTGTATGAAACCCCTGTTGCTCCTAGGCTACAGACTTGTACATGTTTCTGTATTGAATACTGTAGGCTACTGTAGCACCACGGTATTTGTGTATCTAAACATATGTAAACATAGAAAAGCTACAGTTAAAAATACCATATTATTAATATCTTTTGGGTCCACTGTCAAATATGTGGTTCATTGTTGACTAAAACATCATTATGCAGCACATAACTATCTCATGTTCTGGTCATTCTCTTATTCATCTGCAATTTTCAATTACTTGAATAAAGCATCTTAAATATGTTACAAATGTGCAGAAATAGTTCTTCTTCCCATTCTTAGCTGTAGCTTTGTTTTTATGTAACTTGTTGAGAGTTAAAAGTAAACGCTAAACCCAAAGTCAGAATGAAAGATACCTTGTTTCACCATCATCTCAACTGAACAAAGGTTTATATATATATTTTAACATATTAACAAGAATATAGTATGGTTGTCCTCCAGGGACCTAATCTCAGCAAAGAAGTTTGTATATCTCTTTCTAAGGAACTCTGGGGAACAGATTTGTTTAAGCCAGTGGCCTGAGGCAGTAGAATGAGCCCTGTCTCTGGAAACCTGAATTTTAATCTTGATTGGATTTTTAGATTTTTAGGTAATTTGTCCTCTCAGCATCAGTTTTCTTATCAAAAAAAAATCCTGATTTATAAGACTTCTTCTGGTATGCCGAAGTATTGGTGTACTTAAGATTAGAGGCTTTATTTGGATCAAATCAGTATTTAACTTTTCCCAAATTTGTCAGTGATTTCATTGGGTCCACATTGAGGGATTTTCTCTTTTTTCCTTCATAGAGATACCAGATCCCCTGCCTTCTTTGGCTAAGTCCAGGGCAATTTTCTTAACTCTCTTCCTAAGACTTGTTTACCTCCTTCCTTTCCTTTTTTATGACATTTGCTTCACTTTATTTTCCCTTTGAAATATTTCAGAGCCCATTTTTATCATATTTTATCCCTATGAATGCTACTATATATAAAGTAGTATTTTATTATTTTACATAACAGAAACTTTCGGCAGCTCTATTTCTGCTTTACTCATTTTACTTCTCTTACTTGGCCCTGCACTAGAGCGCATTCGGCGCTTAAATGCATTTTTGGTTACCACAGTGTGTTATAATCCAGCCCCTTTTTCATTGCCTTAAAAAAAAATCCACATGAATCTAGGAAGTTATTGGTATCTCGAATCTTTAAAGTTGTAGTTTTAAAAGCACAGAATGAGCAGAAACAGTGTTTATACCTAGAATTAAATAAGCATTTGAAGGCCTCTTCTTCCTCACTTAAAATTTTTTCCACTGACTCGGACTGGGAAAAAACATTATGTAATTAAATCAAAATGCTACCATCAGGTAAGGTTACCAGCAGTAAATCAATACTATTTCAAACTGTTAGGAAAGCATGCATGTAGTCTGGAGGGATTTCACAAATGTGATAGCTGTGGGCATCTGAGGTCTTCTAGCCATTAAAAACTCAAGAAGTTTTTGTTTGATGAAAATTTTCCCAAATAAAAAACTAAATTAAGTTTTCATTGATCATCCCTACTTGTAGGCCAGAAGAGCTGACATTTATCAAACACAGTCATTGGAAATATCCTCATGCTTTCTCAAATCCTTCTGTCTTCATTTCTGGTTACCTGTTAGCTTTCATAGGGAAATCTGCAGGATGAGTTCCAGCACAGGGTGAAAAGCAGGCAATTCAAAAGGTCACTCACTTCTGAAGAAGGACTTCAGTCCAATGTTGAACTGTTTTCCTGAGTTGTCCTTTGGTATTCCAAATATTGTGATTTACAAAAAATCTTCCATTCAAATGCTATTAAATTTGAAAATTTAAACTACTGCTGAGAAATATAGTTACCAAGTTCAGTGTTATTTTCACAGTATTTGATGGGTTTACTATATAAAAACATCAGTTCCACTTCAGGCTTCATAATAGTTTTCAAATTTCCACTTTTGATATGGCTTCACTGGGTCACAGGCAGCTACTTTCAGGATCTTTTGAGAAAAATTTCCTTCCAAGCATAATAATTGCTGACTGTTTTCAAAAACAATGTGATTCACCTGGAAAGAAAGAGGAGCCGGAATGAGCCACAGACTGAATTTGATAACTGTGATATAAAGAAATGAAAATCAATAAAAAAATTAATAGGCAGTTATATTTTTTATTTTTCAATAATTATTCTGAACTAAATTATTAACATAAACACAGACTTCGAACAGTATTAAATTTGTCTGTTTCAGACTAAGTAATCATCCTCTTCTAAGCTATAAGACTTTTAAGTTCTCAGGAGGCAAAAAACAATTTTTTTGATGGTATGGCTGAGAACTATACTCTTTAAAGAGAAAACATGACAGATGACATTTATTGGACTTGATAGACGATAACTATTTCATTGATGGTAAAGAAAAAATACATACTATAACATATAGTTAATTAATTTTTAAAGTAGTTATCTTTATGAAGTTGGATTACAAAATTCTGGTAGTGATTTATTTTATTTATGAGTTTCTTACCATAATCTCTGACAATTCATGATAACTGATGTCCAGAATCCAGATTAGGAAAAAGTCACTGGCATGAAAGAAAGTTCTATTATTGCTTAATATTTAGTGACTATCCTAGAAATGGTAGATAATTTTCATAGAACTTACTAATGGCTTATATATTTTTTCATCTATAAATCTTCTCAATTACCTATGGCTATGACAAAGATGATCTTAATTACACATGTTGTTTTGAAACTTTAAAAAGTTTTCAAACAGGAGTGACTTTCATAATAATTTATTTTAAACATTACTCCTACAAAAATATTGTCACCCTTGCCGAATTTTGGAAATACGATGTTTAAGTATTGCCAAGGATTTGTAAAAGAGTCTCATTTTATAATTCTCTTGTTTAAGACTTACATGTATTTGGGGACCTGAGAGGTATAGCATGAAAACTACTGAAAAACTGAAAAAAGAAGAAAGCTGACCACCAAGCTACTCATCTCCAGGACATTTGGTAGCACCAAAAGGGAAATCCAAGGCAGAAGGCAGCTGTGTAAAATGTCACAAAGACATAGGTACAAATAAGGTAGAGAACAGGCTTTCTAATTTTGGTATCTTAATTAAATTACCTTCTTTACCAAATCAGCTTATTGCTTAAGAGAAACAGCTAACTTCGAAATATTTCCCAAGATTCAATTCTGGAGATGAAGAATGTGTTTTAGTTCTTGTTCTCATTCATGTTCTCTGTCTCTCACTCTCTCCTCACCCCACCCCCTGCTTTCTCCTTCTCTCCGTCTTGACTTTGGCACAGGGAGAAGGTAAGATGTAAGTAATGCACTACACTACGTGTTTATGGATTTCCCAACACTATGCAAAATAAAATTAGGAGCATATATGCTAATAATTCCTAGCCTTTCTGAATAACTTAATAATCCATTATCACTAAAGAGAAAAGAATTGTCCAGAAGCAACTGAAATATAACAGAGAAGATCTAATGGGAGAAAGACTAGAGAATGCATTACTCAGGCTCCAGTGTTGACTCTGAGCAGGAAGAAAAAAGTTGAGAAGACAATAGTCATTGGCTGTGTTGTTAAAAGGAATGAGGCACCTCAAGGAAGAAAAGGTGCTTACTTTGGGGATAGCCCTGGGCAAACTGAGAGTCTCCAAATACCCAAATATCCACTGTAGACAGTAGATCTGGTGGCCACCTGCTAGAGAGATGGTAGAAAACCTAAGAAGGCAGTTCAGAGACTATTCTCGCCAACCCCAAGCTCCTACACCAAAGCTGATGACTCTGTATTCTGTTAAAAGTAATTGAGAAAGATGGAGAGGACTTTGAGAATGAATGTAGTAGACCAGCAATGTTCTGGTAAATAGAACAACTGGACCTTTTGAAAAATATCCAATCCAGTAGCATCTTCCGATTTCTGTGTTATAAATACTCGCAATATGGCCAGTTTCAAGCTACCGAAATGGGGATTGAATGCAAAGCTGGTGAGGGTGCACACAGAGGCCCCGTGAGCTGGTGAGAGCTGTCTCCAGCAGAGCCTTAGGAGCCTCCGTCTCTGAGCCCTGTAGGGGATGAGGAAAAGTCTTCTTGTATGGAAAGGGGACAGAATGAGAAATCAGATTCATTCTGAAGTGCAGGACTTGTAGGAGGCATGTGGTTTCTTTTGTAGCCCACAGCCTCTCAGTATAAGCACTTCTGATAACAGTGGGGACCAATTCTAGCCTTTAAGCCTTACTTTTGGTGTTGTTGATTGACTGAAGCAAATGATAGCAATGTAACTACAAGAACTTGGTGACTTCTATTTACTAATTTGAAATACATTTTGAAAAAAAAAGGACTTGTCAAGTCCTTACTTACAAGAGATACCCATGTAGCTCTCTGAGTGAAGTTTTATGTAATCCCGTTGTCACAAACACAGTTAAAACTTCTGATTGAGGAAGCTGACAATGAGAATTTTGTGTCCTACTTGATCAAAAGTCAAATTTGCGGTAAAGAAGAGGTGCGAATCTTGCTTACCAGCTCTGGATGAAAGACTGGTGTTGACTGATGCAGCCATTTTAGACCTTTGTTTCTGTTATCGCAGGGGTGCAGCCCTGTGGCTCCTTCATCAGGGATGGGGGCTATACACCATTCTCCAGATTTAATAAGTCTTAACCAGGTGTAATTAAATTGTTGAAGCTGTGGGGGAAATGAATAAAGAGGTCACTTCCGGCAGCAAACACCGGCAGGGGCTTTGTCAAACATTTTTGTTAGCAATAGTTAAGACTATAAGAATTATGATCTGACACTTTATGCTCAAGTCCTGGTACTATCATTTGTAATTCTGATAATATGGGCATATGATTTACTCTGTCTAACCTTATTTTTCTAATTTTTAAGTTGGATAGCAATTGTATCTATCTCAGAGGGTTGGGGTAATGACTATCAAGTGTTTAGCACACAATAAGCCTTCAGTAAGTGTTAGTTACAATAATAAAAATTATTTAGTGCAGTTAGTTCTGTCTGCATATGGATGTCATTTCAGTGTTCTGAATCCCAGACAAGTCTGGTGCTCCAAGAATTGGAATGTTCAGGCTACCACATGATTAAGATTCTAAGCCACGGGTGGCTACAGGGAGATACCAGTCACAGCCCTAAATTTCTTGGATGAAGATTTTTATGCTTCCTTGTATAAAACTATCATAAAGGCTTTGTCCAATTGTAGGAAAGGTTAAAGTCTTTCTTTGCTAACAGCGTGAGGAATCATAGGTTGTTACCAAGTTGGCATCCCCCAGTTCATAGAAACTGCTCTTGGAGAAGTTGCCAGTGTCCAAAATAAATACCAATTCAGGTAACGAGACCATGTTTTTAAACCTTAAAAATTTTTATTCAGTTGTTTACAACCTAGTATTATCTGCCTGGTCAATTTACTCTAATGCTCTGGGTCTGTGGGAAATTTGTTGTTTTGTACTAATAAAAACATATTTGAAAAGATAGGCTTCTGGTAAAATTTATCTATAGCCTTTACCTAATGAACCATTTGTCTTGTAACTGAAATTTAACTTGATTATCAGTTTAGATCAAAGTCACTATGTTGGACCTTGCCACTCAAAGGGTAGTCCTTGGGCCACCATCTGCATCACCTGAGAGCTAGTAAGAAGTGCTGAGTCTCCGCAGCATCACGGACCTACTGATTCAGACTCTGCAGTGTAACAAAGACGCCAGGTGATTTGTGTGAACATTAACATGTAGGAAGCATGGAAGCATATAAGGAAGTTATGTGCCACTAAGAGAAGCTAGATATTACCTTGAAAAAATACATCTAACTGCTTTAAGGTTAGTAACTAAGGAGACTTTTTAGGTAAGGTAAGCGATAGAGCTTGATGATTCAATCTAAGGGTCTTATTCCTTTGAGCCTTTTTGGATGAATGTTGTAGTCACTGTCTTGGTATTAAGCCTCATTAATTCTGCCAAAAATGAGCTAACTTCCTCCACTTTTTTTTTTTTTTTTTTACTTTTTATTACCTAAGCAAACCATGAGAGGCAGAAGCTAAAAATCAACAACAAGACTAAAAGGGAGCTGGGGCTTTGTGGAAGGTGAAGGCTGCATCATTTATGCTTTTGCCTCCAAGCATCCAATTGAGAAAGACTCAATGGTCATCAAGAATAGAACTTGCGTTTTCAGATAAAGTACTGGTTACTCCAGCACAAAAAGTCCCTGCAATTCGGATTCAAAAAAAAAAAAAAAAAAAACACATTATTTAATACTTTCATATAATGTGAACGAATTGTGGTTTTGTTTTCATAATTTATGACTTTATTTCCTCTTGGTTAGTAAGCGAAATTTATTTCTTTAAATGGAGTTTAACACTTTCCCACTTCCTTTTGACTCCTCTCTTTCCTAATTAAAGAAGAGCACTCTTGGCTTCTGGTTTACAATTCATAGCTAAACACAGCAACAGAGATACCTTTTCTTCCAGGAGCAGCTTTGCATTAAGAGGTAGAGATGGGATGCACTAACAAATATAAACAGTATCTCAAAGTCGAAGGAAAGATGTAAGACTTGACAAGCCTAGATTATTATTGCAAAACAATTTACCAAAGAACAATCTGCAGTTTTGGGGAACTGATTTCTACTCATGAATCCATATTCCTCTGAGTCCTATTTGCCACTCAAACCAGTAACTGTTTCCACAAACACAGTACTGTTAGGGAATGTATGTTAGAGAGGGAATTGTAATCACTCAGAGCTCACCTCCCGCACTGTGGAAGGAGTCTCTATTCCCTGCTTCCTGGTCCTACTCCCTCTACTAACCGTTTTGCTCTGAGTTTGTGGAGTTTTCCTAGAAGGGTTTCTGCCATGGATCATGGATTTGGTTATTTCCATTACTCCCTCAAAGTGCGGGAGAATGAGGGGAAAAAGGAATGGAATCAGAGAATAAGACTGCTTCCTTAGAATGATTATTTAGAAATATGTTCTCTCTTTAGTCCTTCTATGTCATGAATTTTTTATGCTTTTATCTTTGCTATCACTACAGAAAACATTTACAGAGCACTAAGCATTAGGTATTGTTCTACATGCTTCATATGAATTACCTACCTCCAGCATCACACCAGTTGTAGAAGTAGGCATGATTACCACTACCATTTGCCCAAAGGTTAAGGGATCTGCAGAAGTTAACACACTTTTGCAAGTGATGGTGCCAGGACTGGATTCATTCTGGAGCCAGTGAGTTGACTTCAGGACCCACACCTTTATTCCCTCAGTCTTTGTGTTAATGGTGGACTCTCTTATTACAAAGAAATTTAGATAATTATTTTTCTATTGGGCAAAGATGAATTTCTCAATTGAGTGATGAGTGTGTTGTATCCTGCACCTATCAGCTACCATGAGATAGAAAACCACAGTTTAGCATACCTCGTTGCTCCCATCGCAGTCTTCCAGAATGACTGTAGTGTTTTCAATGGAAATGCATTTACCCAAGGCCACATTAATAAGCTAGAAAGCATAATATAAAACATGAATTTAAAAAACACATTTTAAAATAGAAGAAGACATTCAGACATGTTTAGAAAATACAGAATATAAAACTATAATAAGGTTAAAAGATAGTTAATAGCTTAGCATTACTTAGCACTATCCAGCTTTATTGGTTGCTATCTCTAACAGAGACATAATGTAATCTTGTAATAGTACAGCTTCAATCTGTCAACGTAGGCCTGTGATCAGCCAGAGAGCCAACAGGCAGAAGCTTTTAATTAACCCTTGCCTAGAATGCTAAATACAAAATAAGCAAAGATGATATGAAAAGAGTTAAGTTTATCTAATGCATATACTAAAAGTCAGTGCATACACAAGAGTTATGAGCTATGTTCCCTGACTGACCCCTTCAAGCTTTTTGACTGCTTAAGCACTGAATCATAGATAAATTGAGTCCTTCAAAAAACAGCAGATTCCAGCTGATTCCCTGTCAGAATCTTCTTAATGACTCAAGTGAGCTACAATTCATTATAGGAAAGTCACGAAAGCTGATATAGAGCCAAGCATAAAGGCACTTTCTGGCAGGCCCCCAGGTTTTTAATGCATTTACAGGGTCAAATATGGAGGTAGCTTTCTATAAGTCACCGTTTAATGCAGAAGAATGTTGATTTTCTTTCCCCCTTTGACCTCCTGGGCAGGGCTAATGAGATGATGGGTTAACAGTGCAATAGTTTTCAGACTTCTAGAAGAGCTGTGCAGAGCAGAATCTATATGATATGTCCAGGGAAAGCCTCTGGAGCTGGGAGGAGCTGAAGTCTTTGTTGCCAGGGACACTATTTGTGCCCTTCCTGTTCTACGGTGCCTAACAAAGAGCTCTAACTCAGGGTGCTGCACTGATGCAGGCTGGATGCTCACAGAGTTGCCAGACTTCATAAATGGGGGCTCAGTAGTTTGGTCCTCACTTTTACATGCTTAGTTTAGTGGGCAAGAAAGTAAGGGACATCTTCAAGGATCAGAATACGCAGAAAAAATTAAAGGCTGGAGGGAAACTTGCAAAGGTTGGCAAGAAAGACTTCCTCCCTCATACGGATGGACAAAAAACAGGCATGGATAAGGCAAAAAGCTGAAATTCTGGACTTTCATATAGCATTGGAAAAAGTTAGACCTTCAACTGAATGCTGCACTAGGATAAACAATTTGCCCATTATCACAGGGTGACAACGAGGAAGCTGGGTTATTCTTGAGAAACTGAAACTTTATACCAACCTTCATTTGGTTTTGAGATGAATATTTACACCCCGTGCCTTGGATAGGAATCATCACAGACCTCCAAGGCATAGAAACAAACATTAAAAATAGTACCAGGTTGGTAACTACTTCTGAGGTGCCTGGTGTAGAAAGACACACAGCAATAATAGGATGAAATCTCTATCAAAAATTCTCAGAGAAAGTGATATTCACAATTGAAAATGACAAAGATGAGAGGTGACAGCTCACCGTTAGCAAATGTGGGCATCACAAGGCACAGAAGGGTTCAATGCCCTCCAGCGCCCCCCCACCCGCCGCACCGAACTTCAGAGAGGATGGTGAATAGAAAGACATAAAGGTAGAATAATCTCAGGGCTTAAAAGAAAAAAATCATGCTGCAATTGCTCTCTGAACTTTAGCAGAGATAAATATTATATAAGCTCCTGGATTTGTGGATCATGTAGACATATTCTATCTCCAAACAAATTTGGAAAATTCTGGTTTCCACAGAGTTGAACAGGTGGTTCCACTCCAGAACTTCCCAAAATCTTCAAGGTGTTAATGTTCCACTTGCTGCTCAGAATGTTGTAGGAACATTTCTCAAATGTGAGAATGTTGTAGGAACGTTTCTCAAATGTAGTTGCCATGAAACCCTGAGGCAGCACAAGTAACATTGGTCAGCACGGTGTTTGGGAACCCCTGTTTAACGGATATCTTTGTGTTTATTTTATATAATCCCTCCAGTAACTTAAAAGCATTGGAAGGAAAGATAAAACTTTTCTGTCCCTCACTGGCCCTCTCCCACTTGACCTGAAGATGCTTTTCTTTAGCTTCTTCTTAGAATTTACTGAGGAATTTACTATTTAATTGTGGGTTTTGCCATTAAAGGTACTTTAAACCAGCTGAATACTTTCTTCATAGAGATGTCTCTGAAGTGCTTTGGAATTGTTATTTTTCATTTCATTATTAATCATTTTCAGAATTTTTCATTTTTATTTTACAATAATTGATCCACATTTTTACTGTAAACCACTTCAATCTTTAAGAAAATCAGGCAGTATATAAATTTTGAATTATCCATGTTGTATTATTTCATTTTCCAATTTAGAAAGTAGACATTCCCCACAGTTTATGACAGAATTGTTAAACATTAGGCTATTTGCCAGCAGTTTAACCCAGTGCAAAAATACATTATTGGTGACATTCTTTTATTAGCTTCAAATATTGTTGGTTCAATAAGAAAATATTTGTTCTTATTATGAAAAAACAGAAAACTGTCACTAGATTTAAATTTCTACGTATGGAGGTTGAAAAAAGGGAAATGAAGCTATAGACTGCTCAACAGCAGTTTAATCCAGTGTAAAGAAGCCATTATTGATGAGATTATTAGCTTCAAATATTGTTGGTTCAATAAGAAAATATTTGTTCTTATTACAAAACATACAAAACTCACTGAATTTGAAGTCCTATGTGTGGAGGTTGAAAGAAGGGAAACGAAGCATGTAACTAAAAGATGTTGTGTAGTTTATTTTCTTGGGACTTTCCAATATTGTCTATTTAAAATAATGGTCTACTTAATCTGTTGTAAATTACCTGGCCCGAAGGGCCCTAATTTTTAAAAAGTTGTAATAACGCTCCCTGCTGGTTGCTTCAGAAGGGAGCAAACTATATCTTCACTGAAATTTGTTTAAGGAAGGCAACAAAGAAAATAGAAGAAATTTGTTAAAATCATTTTTTAAAAATACTTGCTGCATTTTGATATATTATAGTGGAGGCATCAGCAGAAGGCTGTTTCATTAGGAGAGATAATCAGAAATTTTGTGAAAACTCACACCTTAGTCACAGTGGAGCCAAAAGGTAGTTTTCTAGTGCCCTCTGGTGGTTAAAGTTTAGTAATAATCTTACTGAAATTCTATGTTGCTGAAATGGGAAAAATTACTATCATGGAAATTCTTCTTCTTTTTCTGCTTGGGGGTTGAAATGAAAAAGTGTAAATTTATTTTACAGTTATATTTGACATGTTGTTATTTGACTAGTATATATAAACCCAAAGTGTCTGATAAGTTACCAGGTTGAGCCACCTAAAGTAGCTGCTCTTTTATTTAGACCTGTAAGAATGGCAATTTTTTAATGCAGTACGTTACCTAAAAATGGGTCATGTATACTTACTTATTAGTTGAATTTTGTAAAAACAGAACAAACTTTTGAGACTAGTTTCCTGTATTTCACACCTTTCCTGGATTTCCCTAATACTTTAAAGGGGAATAGTATACTAAGTCCTTGCTATCAGGCAGAAAGCATGGTATAATCCACTCTCTAGAAGAGCTGAAAAAATTTGGCCTAAAAGGGCAGGATCACTAATGGTCACATTTTAAACAAATTTCTGGAATGAAAAAAAAAAAGGAACTGAAATAAAACGAAAGAACACTGTGGATAAAGTTGAATTAGAAATAAAAGATTGGAAATAAGCGTGATTGGCAAAGAACCCTAGCTGCAAGCTTGACTCATCATATTTAAACCCACACTATGATAGATGTCCTCGTGTCTTACCATCCTCTTCAAATGCACCTTCACTCATAGCATGGGTTTGGAATGCCTATCTCCCCGTTTCTCCTCTTCCTTGATGTTTTCTTACCCCTGTACTCTGGCCACCTTATCTGACTTAGCTTCTTCCCTTTGGATTCCTTCCCTCATGCCCTGCAATGTTTTCTGCTATTCTCTGATAATTCTGTTATTTTAAATACCTCTTTGAAATCTTTACAAACCCTAATTGAATCTTATCATTTTCTTGCTTAACTCTGCTGAATAACTGCCTACTACATTCTAAAGAAAGAAGGAAGGAAAGAAGGAAAATCCTTACTTTGCTTACAAGGACCTGTGTGATCTGGCTCCTTCCTTCCTCTTCACCTTCATCTGGTGCCATTCTTCCCTCCTTCACACCCTGACAACAACATTAGTCTTCTTTGCAGTACTTGGATGGAAAATACTCTTCTGTCTTAGGGCTTTATGTAACCTTCACCCTCTGCCTAGCACTCTTCTTTAGAGCTTGGCTGACTGACACTTTGTGTTTTAGGCCTGAGTTACAAAGTCTCCTCCTCAGAGGGGATTTGTGCACCACTCTAACTGAGGATTTATCAGTTGCAGCCTGTTCCCTAAATAAGAGCTATTATATTTTATATTTATACCTTATTTGCTTATTTGTTTATAATCTTTCTTTCCTATCCAAATTAAACTCCACAAGGAAAGGATCAAGTCTACTTTATTCATCATCCTGTAATCCAAGTCTGAAATACTGCCAGATCTATGGATACTCAGTAGGTATCTGTTGAGTTAATCAATGAACCTGACCACTTGGTAGCCTTCCTCAAATTTACCTGTATTTAATTCTCAGCCATGCTTTGTCCCATCTATGCTCATACTTGGTGTTTATTTATAATGTAATCACTCATTCTTTCCACACATTTTCGAAGGAGATTTTGTGTTTTGTTTTTATGGAGTAAGATTTTAAATTGCCACTTGAACTTACCACACCACTAGCTCTCACAATGGGAGCCTTTAAGTCAGGAAAGACATTCTCCAAGTACCATTTGAAACTTTTGCACCTCAGTTTCTTTCGCAGCTCCCTTTGCTGGGTGAGGTTGCCAACATCTAACCCTTGGTCGATGAGATGGTCTCCATGGCCATAGAACAGCTCCTTATACTCATCCAGCCAGACCTCAGCAACCCTCACCAAGTTCCGCTCCACTGTCTTCATCCGGTCTTTGGGGAAGGAATATGGATTGTCATTTCTGAATATATGGCCCACTCGGGAACAGGGGATTATCTCAATTTCGCCACCACACATCCATACCTGGAACAGTTTGATGATAAGCATCAATTATCAAATGGTTATCCACAAATCATGAGCACTTAACAATGACAAGAAACCACCCGGCTGGCAACCTTGTTTCCCCTTTCTGAAGTAATACTGAACTTCAAAAACACATTTGCAATAGAAAATCAAACTCAACAGGTTTATTTAATTTTGTGTATTGCTATGGATCATTTTAGGATTAGTAAAATGCAGTTTCTTTCCTTTCCTAACCTGCATTGTAAGTTTTTTTTTTAATTTCTAAATAAATTTTCACAGAATCCCATTTTGTAAAAATATGAGTTCTTGTTTTGGTTGAAGCAGGGAAAGAAGTGTGGACGTCCATTAGTTCACATTCTTCTACTCTCATTTTGGGAAGAACCAAAAAGCTTGTGACACACAACTCAAAATCATTCCTTTTGATCTGCAGCTCCAAAATTACACCCTTTTACATACAGACCACCCACCCAATAGGAAAGCAATTGCTTTTGGACATGCTTTACTACTGCTGTTGCCAAAGCTTTCTCAGAAGTTAATCAATGATCACATAACAGATTGTATAAAGGAGCTGTGTCCAAAGGAGCTGTACTATGAGGCACACCTGACCTGCTGGTGGCCTGCTTTAGAGTACTTTTATGTCCTTTTGTCATTTGTGTTCTCCAGGATGATCCATTACACAGTGAGTCTGTTCCTTCCAACATACTAGACAGATCTTCCAGGAAAGTTATTTTGTATCACATATGACATCCACAGCATTTACCGAGTGGCAGAAAGTCATTTCCCCCATATTTACAAGCAGAAATGGTGTTGCGAAATATTAGGGAATGCCAATAAATTTCATGACAGCAATTGATTCTTTCAAATTTAATCTAAGAAAGAATTAATCTGGAGACCCTAAAATTTCTGTGAAATTTCCTCTCAGTGGCAGTCACATATTTGATTATAGGATTAAAATGAAACCATTTAAAATTGATTAACTCATTATTGTAAAGAAAAGTTGGGAAACACCTGGTAATACCTTGAATGAGAGCTCCATATTTTCCCCACCCCAAACATCAAGGCCAGGGTCGTATGTTCCAAGTTCAAAAAAGTAACTTTTGTCAATGGAAAATAATCCGCCAGCCATGACAGGGCACCTACAAAAAGAAAAGTTTTTTAAACTTGCATCTCTTAAAAGCTTGACTTTTAGAGTTGGTCCTCTATACATTTGCATTGGAGGTAGGAAGCTTTACAGAATAGCTACCTGGTGCAGGGAAGCCCTGGGACAGAGTCACAAATAAGGCTTAAGTGATGCAAGACAGAGCAAGTGTTTGTGTCCTTTATACTGTGACACAAACTCCCCAGGAATGTTTGTTTGAGACAGAGTCTTGCTCTGTCGCCGAGGCTGGAGTGCAGTGGCTTGATATCAGCTCACTGCAACCTCCACCTCCTGGGTTCAAGCGATTCTCCTGCCTCAGCCTCCGGAGTAGCTGGGATTACAGGCGCCTGCCACCATGTCAATCTAATTTTTTTTTTTTTTTTTTTTTTTTTTGTATTTTTAGTAGAGACGGTTTCACCGTGTTAGACAGGATGGTCTCGGTCGCCTGACCTCGTGATCCGTCAGCCTCGGCCTCCTAAAGTGCTGGGATTACAGGCGTGAGCTGGGCCAGAAATGCTATTTTTAATAACACTTAGGGCTAAGGAAGTACCAGGCACTACAGTAAGTATTATATATATATATACTAGTCCAGACTTCACAAAAAAACTTGTGTGTACGATTATTAAGAATCTGCAACACCGGCTGTGAGGGCGATCTGGCTGCCACGTCTGTCACCCCATTGACCGCCAGGGTTGATGCGTCTGATCTAGGCCGTGCCCCTTCCTCCATCACCGCTCCATGCGCATCCCTCCGGAGAGCTGTGCGTTCTGTGGAAGAGGACGACGCCCCGCGACAGAGGAGGTTTGCGCTCACGGGTTCCCGAGTAGCTGCGCTCCCCTGCTGGAACCTCCAAACCAGCTCTCAGGATTCCGCAACACAGAGAAGGTAAGACAGGTTGCCAAAGACAGGCGCCACCTTGGGTTTGCTCTGGGCCGTCTGAGGGGCCGCTGGGCCTTCTCACTTCACGGAACTGCCTCTCAGCCGTTACCGGCAGGAAGGCCGCGAGTGCGAGTTGTCCAGGTTCTTGGTATTTCGAACGAAGAATTGAACAAAATACGCTAACGAAGGAGGGACACCCATGAACAAAGCAGCACAAGCATGGATTTATGAAAGCGAGAAAGCGCTCGCAGGGTGGGAGTGGGCCCCAGCAAATGGATCGAGGGCGGCCCGGAAACAAAGTTTTCTGGATTTTAAGTACTCCTTTCGAGGTCCCTATCGGATGCCCCTTATCTGGATGAAGGCTTTGCTTGACTAATGAAAGGCTGAGGTGAATTGGCGCCCCTTGCAGATGAAGGGAAGGTCCCTGCTTGGCCGGCCCCAGGCACTCTCCCTTTCCATCTGAGATGGGGTGGAAGGGGAGGCTGTAGGGAGAGCAGCCTTCGATTCTTTCTTACTCCAGCTGGTGTTCATTGGCCTTAGGGTCCCTGCCCCCAGACCTTGATGTTTTTCTTTGATTCAGCTTTAGGAAGCCAGCAGGAATCCGCCTGAAGGTTCTTGCCTTCAGACCCCATTTTCCTGTCTCACAACCGCACACAAACATCACGGACAGCGAGTTACATGGCAAGCACTTTTCAAAGCACTTTATCTATTATATGATTACGTTCTTAAAACACTCTAAGTAGCAGCTACTTCTCTAAGTCTTCATGTAAAACTGAGGAAACAGAGGCTTAAGATGGTAAGTAACCTTTTCAAGCTCATACCATTTCTCAGTGGTAGAGTTGAGATTCAAACCTAGAGTCTGTCTCCAGAGCCTTCACTAATATCGTTGATCATGGAGAACAGAAACTACATTTTAGTCAGCAGTTAGCCGAGACCGGAAACACTTCCTATGCTGGTCACACTCAGCCAGCTGAAGCAGCGTCTGTGGAGAGCCTGCTTTGTGCTTAGGGACTACGGTGATCTCAAGGGTAACTACCGTCCCACACCTCTCTCCGTTCTGTTACCATTTATGTTCATGTTCAGTCTGAACTCCAGTTATCCTTCTAGACTATCCAGAATGCATTCTCTTCCTATATTATGTTGAATATAGTCTGAACTCAACCACTGTATTGGCCCTCAACAAGAGAGTCCGGAAAAAGCAGAGGTTCTTTAGGCGTAGGTTCAGAGTAAGAGTGTGAAATCCAGGTAGTTCTGGGTTTGAGTATCAAATTCTTTTTTTTCTTTGAGATGGAGTTTCGCTCATGTTACTCAGGCTGGAGTGCAATGGTGCGATCTCGGCTCACTGCAACCTCTGCCTCCTGGGTTCAGGTAATTCTCCTGCCTCAGCCTCCTGAGTAGCTAGGATTACAGGCACGCGCCACTATACCCAGCTAATTTTTTGTATTTTTAGTAGAGATGGGGTTTCACTATGTTGACCAGGATGGGCTCAATCTGTTGACCTCGTGATCCACCCGCCTCGGCCTCCCAAAGTGCTGGGATTACAGGCATGAGCCACAGCGCCCGGCGAGTCTCAAATTCTTTAATTAGCTGTGTCCCTGGGAAAATTAACTTAACTCTTTTAAGTCTCAATTTGCTCATCTCTTTAAGGTGAATACTTCCACCTGCCTCCTAGAGTTATGAAGAGAGTTAAGTGCCTGCCACAGAGTGCTTAACAAATGGTAGAACCTTCACTTCTTTGCTTGGTGGAATAATTCTGAAGGCATCATACCTGGCAAGGAAGGCGGTGTGATTGATTGAGGGGTAAGTTCGGGGAAAGCATGCTGCAAAGCATAGTCTGGGCCTGGCTTTCTCTCGGGCCTGGCTTACTTGGGTCTGCTCAAGTTGGGGTCATTCCAACAGAGAATGCCTTACGCCCCCTGCTGCTCTTCCTGTGGCTGGCTGAATGCCTGTTCAGTAGGCTAGATTCCGAAGTAATGGGGAAGCCTCCACTTCAGCTTCAGGTCTGAGCTGTGTTCTTTAAAGCAGTTTCTTGGGAATAAAAACCCAGACTTGAATTCATATCCAGCTTCTGAGTCCAGTATTAAATTTATTCATAGAATTTGATACTTTTCTCATGAAGGGGGTAGGATTAGGCTATAAAAGAAAATTCTAACCATTGCAATCATTAGAATGATATTTCTATTACTATTATTTACTTTTAATTTGTACTTATGCTTACTTTAACATGGCATGTGTTTATATAGCATGTATGCAGCACATTTTGCTAGTTTGTGTTTCTTAGGTTGCAAATCCTAGGAGACAGAATAGCTTTAGTAAATTTTTCTGCGTTCAAGCTTGAGTAGGGTACAAATGACCAGTGAAGAGTGAGTTTTGGGAACAAATTTCTTGGTAATACTGTGTTTGCTTTGGTAATCTATTGGCTAGAACGGTGATTCCTGATTTCTGGAGCATAACAAGGTGCAGCGGTTTTGTAGAATTGTTTTTTTATGCCTGTACAAAAAGATACATGACTACTTTCTAGTCTTAAGTTTCACGCACTTACCTTATTACATCAGTTTCTTTAATTCTGTTTTTTGCAATGACATCTGGAGGAATTGTTCTCCAACCAAAGTTCATGGGCCACACAAAGATGCCTCTTTGAAAGTTGTCCACTGTCATATAACTAATCCAGGAAAAAAAACCAAAGTGATACCTCAGATTTTATATATATATATATATATACACACACACACACACATACACATATATACACACACACATATATATATACACACACACACATACACATATATACACACACACATCTTTATATACTTTATCAATTTGGCTTCACGATGTATTCAAATGAATGAAACAAGTGCTTATGATGATTTTAGATCACTACTTTTTATGAATAGTTCAAGAAAGTTTACAAGTAGTATTTGCATTAGTGACTAATTGGCTTGATTGTTTGTGCTTAACTTATACTTTTCTTTTAATAATATCCTGGTCAGTTTTAAAGAAAAAAATACAGGAGCAACTTAAATGCACATACATGTTTCCCATAGAAATAAGAACTCAACTTGGAGTAAATAAATGTTTTGGGGTTCAGCTAAATATAAAGGGGAAAAACTAGATAATGAGCATTAGGATTTATTGGTATTTGGAGTTAAGAATTTGTAGTGACCAAATAGATTATTGTATCAGCAAACTCTAATCTCAAGATATTTATCATGTTTTTCTATTTGTTTAAGTAGATAAACTGTATATGTCTTGGATTTTGAAAATCCAAGACATATACAGTTTATCTACTTAAATAAATGGAAAATATTAGGCATATACTCAGCACTTTCTGCTGCATGTGATTAAAGATGTGCTTAGAACTATCTTATAGAATGTGTCAATATTACCTCATATCTTTATCATTGATGACTTCGATTACTGGACAGGCCACTTTCTTTCTACTTAAATAAACTCTTTCTAGAAGAGGTTCCAGCCAACCAACATTACATTCCACGTGAGAATCTAAAAACGTCAACACATCACCTAGAGAGCCAAAAACACACAAAAAAAACCCTTGAAAACACAATATATTGAAGGTGTGTACTTCATGTTCAAAGAATGATTGCTCCAGAAATGTGGCTGTAAATGCAGTGATCTTTTTTTTCTTTCCTGAATTTGTGGTCGCTGTAATTTCATTTCATAATGAAATGAGAGTAACTTTGCTCCTAGGAGTCCTGTGGTGCAAGCATAATTCATGGTTGGAAAATATTGATAAACCGCTTAGAATGGGTAACGAGAATCTGAAAATAATACTTGGTATTAAAGGTAATTGCTGAAGTCCCCTCTAAGAGAGTGTGCCCGTTAACATTGCGGGTACAGGATTTGGGACTTTGTTTTTAAGAAGCAGAGAGACTGAGATGACAAGTTTGGCCTTAGTAATGATTAAGAGGAAAAATTACTTCACATAATAGGGATGAAGTAAATTAAAGTGGACAAAATGGCAAGGCTGGGAGGTACTGTGAAAAGAGTTACAGGAGACGGGAGTGGGGAATGGGAGGTTGCTGATGAATCAGTATGGAGTTTGATTTTTGCAAGGTAAAAAGAGTTGTGGAGACTGCACACCAGTGTGAATGTATGTAATACTATGGACCTATACATTTAAAAATGGTTAAAATGGTACATTTTTACATTCTATGTTTTTACACAATTTAAAAAAAGACAGAGGAGGGAAAAAAAAAGGAAAAGAAACTTGGAAGCCAGAAGTAGTATTAAGAACTCTTTTTCTTCCCTGCTAGTTGTGTGAAGGAACACTCTCTCTCTCCCCACTGAAACCACAATAGCATCTACATTGCTCCAGAGGATCTCGTAGAAGTGGTGTGTGTGTGTGTGTGTGTGTGTTATGATGTATATATATGTGAGAGAGTAACAACCCAGGAAATAAGCACCTGATCCAGATCCCATGTGTGATCTTTCAGACCCAGTCACAGGTAATACAAAGGCTCTACCTAGTGGGCTTCATGGAGGAACCCTGCTTTCTCACTCTGGTGTCCAGCCAGTGTGCTGAAGTCTCTGAAGGGAATTGTGGTCCAGGACTCACTCCCTCTCCTAGGCTGCAGGACTTGCTCTTCTGCCTGTCTGCGTTTCTAACCCAGGTGCCTCCATTCAGGTCAAAACCTCTGCCAGGACCACCTTATTGGAGATGGAATGGGTCTTGAAGATGCTTTGTTCCACTCTGACTCAGTATTCAGTGCTTTCCTACTCGTAGCCTTTCCCTTTCTTACTCTGGATCCTAGGGCTCCGCAACAGAAGGAGCCTTTTGTGCTGGGATCCTTGGGCAGGCAGTGAGATGCTCCTCTTGTCTGCTCTGCTCTGCTCTGATCCACCACTCAGCAGCATTCCAGGGGGAAAAATAGAACATCGAAGGAGCCGGTGCCTTCTCCTCTTCAGCCTCCTGCTGATACTGTTGCAGTAAGGGATTAAGGCTTCACTATCGCTTTCATTTTGGTTGATCTTTTTAATTGACTACTTGGATATCTGGATACTTAGCTCAGCTCTTGACACTCCTGTAAGAGCACTATCATCTATTAAGTGCTTGTTCTATGCCAGTCTCTGTTCTAAACATTCTTCATGGATGTTTTATATAGTTCTTACAACAACCCTGCCATCTAGAACTAATTTTTATTCCCACTCAAGAGACAAGGAAACTAAAGAACCTAGGTAACCTTTCTATGGTTGCACAGCTAATAAACAACAATGTGATATTAGAAGATAGGTAGCTTATTCCATGGATTATGTTCCTTAAAAAAATACCAGAAAGAGGCAGAGCTTTGAGAATGGGAAGGCTTAGAGAACAAAATGGGGATAGTTATCTGGATGATAGACCATCATCACTGAAATCTGCAAACTACCTCTCCATTAATGGAATTTAGCATCACATTAATTGCTTAGTTAACAATGTTATTTTTGCATGAGGGTAGGGTATTGGTGTGGAGTGTTCTTGAGGAGTCTGTGCAAGGCAAAAGCACACCACTCCCATGTAGTCTTCTGTTGTTGGAGACAGCAGTTTCATCTCCTGACCAGGCTGGGGGGGTCCTATTCTAAGGGCATTAAAGCTTGTTTGCCAATGATAGGGTATTGTTCCCTGCATGGTCTGAATGTATTGTCAATTCAAAATTCATATTTTGAAACCTAACCCTAAGGTGATGGTATTAGGAGGTGGGGCCTTTGTGAGAAAATAATGAGGGTGGAGCCTTCTTAAATAGGATTAGTGCCCATATGAAAGAGGCTGGAGGGCATTTGTGAGCCCGTTTTGCCCTTCCATCATGTAAGGTCACAGCAACAAGGTGCCGCCTTTGAGCAGTGAGCTGTCACTAGACACCAAATCTGCTAGTGCCATAATCTTGGACTTCTAGCCTCCAAAACAGTAAGCAACAAATATATGCTATTTATAAATTTTCTAGTCTAAGGTATTTTGTTACAGCAGCCCAAAAGGACTAAGCCATCTCCTTAGGGTGTCCTTTGGGGATGGCACCTTTGGGACAACCCTCTCCCTTGCCATAGGAAAACTTACAGGGTCATCTAGGTGTATGAAGTGTGGGCTGCTGAAGTCCACTTGGCTTGTGGTATAGAATGCATTAAAAAAAGTTTCCTACTTGTGATCCATTCGGACCTAGAGTTTAAAAAGCAGTCTTTACTACACCATCTGTCCCTATCGCCATAGCAGCCTTATGAAGTCAAAGGGGCCTGGATTATCTTTCTTAGTCCCCAGTGGCAGCAGGATGGGTCCCCAAACCTGCATTCACTTCCCACCTGGCCCAGATCACTATGAAAATTCTCATTCATTTGCTGCCAGGACCTAAGGGAAGCAACATCTGCTCAAAGCATAGTCTGGAATTTTACATTGTTTTATTTTGGGGAAGAGGAGAATCCTCCTATGCATGCATGCTTTTGCTCTACTTTCAGACATTTTGTTTTAAAATAAAATCTTAGGCCTATGCTGGGTGAGAAATCAGGGAGCCTTCAGTGTAGCTGACTCTGGGTGGGATTTCTGATTGTGGTGGTTATTGTCTGTGGACATTGTACACACTGTTCCTGATCCTGTGAGGCTGAGAGGCATAGCGAAATGAACACAGCATTGAAGTTCATACATCTGCCTTCTATCCAAGCTCTGCTTCTCCTAGCCAGGTTAGATAAGTTACTTAACCTTTTAGAGCTTTGCCCTACGAAGAAATTTCTAAAATTTACCTGATATATAAATTCTTTAAAAATGGCCAGTACCATTTACTGTCAGAATAATCAATCCAATCATTTAAAAATTTTAATTGGCACATAGTAATTGTATATGTTTATGGGGTACAGACTGATATTTGATACATAAAAATGTGTAGTGATCAAATCAGGGTAATTAGCATATCAACCACCTCAAACATTTATCATTTAGCTGTGTTGGGAACATTCAAACTCTTCTCTGATAGTTACTTGAAAATATATAGTAAATTATTGTTAACTATAATGACCCTATAGTGCTATAGAGCACTCGATTTGGAAAGGATAGGGGAGAGGGGATATAGGGAGAGGTTGGTTAGAAAATATGAAATAGGATTTTCTGTTTTCTAAGCATAGGCCCCAACAATACTGGATGGGTTTCATTTGTAACTTAAACTCATGGGGATGGTGCTAACCTAAAGCTGTTCAATGTGCCAAACAATTTTGGGTCCTTGTTGAGCATGGACCCCCACTTATATCCAGTGTACCAACTTGGAATATTGCTGCAATACCAGTTAATGCTGGATTGTCATGTCTAGGATTCCTCGAGGGATGCGGGCTTGGGTTGCCATTTAATTTTAAATAATGCCTCTTAAGTAATGCTAAGAAAACAATTTTTGCCTATAGCAGATACAAGTTATAAAAGTTTGCAGAAAGATGTCCACTGTTGCTTTTAGGAGGCCTTGGAGTTTCCTAGAAGTTAGATGTCACTTGTCCAGTTACTTAAAGTTAGCCAAGGGATTATTTAGAATGCTCACAGAAATGTCAGGAATTTTGCTACGTGCCATGTCATGAGGGAAATGAAAATCTAATCTTTACTTTGACTCTCACTAGTGAAACTGTCTGACGGTGATTCCTCTGGGCAGGGCAGTAAATCACTTGGTCTGCTCCATACTGGGAAGGGCTGTGGATAATCTACTTGCTCCCTGATGTCTCACTTACTCGATCTTTTTAATTCTCTTGGCTTGATATTGTGAGCAATTCTTAGAGACCCATTGCCCCTGGCCTACTCATCAAATTTTGAAATCCAGCTTGGGCTTTCAACCTCCTCATTCACAGCAAGCAACTGATTGGACCTAATCTTTTTGCCTGAATTAGATTCGGATGAAGAACTAACATGCCCTGGAAACTGCATAGTAAACATTGCTAACAGTAAGTTACATCACTGCTTGGCCCCTTGTTATTTTGTAGATGATTGCGGACTTTCAGAGAACCTCTTGCAGACTTTCAGAAAGCCTCATAATATCCTGGGACCAAAACAGGCCATCTGACTTCTATTTCTGCATGTCTTTGGATCTCTGGATCTCATCTTTGCCTGTTACTGCCCTTTTCTATGGGTCCTAAATGGCGAATCTTTAGGGAACAGTATCTGTTAAGGCCTGTCAGATTCTGGACTCAGATTCTTATCTTTAAACTCTTTGTTTGGCTGAGGCATCCTAGAGAAAATGTTTGTCTACAGGTCTTTGCTGACCTCTAATTTACAGGGACTCTTCAGAAGGCCATTAGTCTCTAACCTATCTCTACTCTTGAGAGCTGTGGAACACCCAGGGTAGTTTGAGAGGACCCACCACACCTGCATTTCTTCTCAATGCCAGTCTCTGAATTACATTCTCTGCTAAAGCTGATCCTGCATTCCCTTGAATTTCCCACAGGGGACAGGTATACTTTTCAGCATTTGATATGTCCTTGGGCAAAGCTGTCCTAACACCATTACATCGAGACACACCTTTCTCTTCTTTCCAAATTCTCAGGCACCCAGCCTCCACTAATGCTGCTCAAAGTGTAGGCCACAGACCCTGTTGTTTACAGAGAGATAACAATAGAAATTTAGAAGATATATTTTGAAACTTTATAGCAATTTGCAAAATTTATTAATTTATTATTTGTTTACTGTCTTTATATACATGTAAAGATACATATGCACATATATCTTATATATAATAAAAAGGGGTTTGTGTTTTATATATTTACTTTCCTTTTTAGGTAATTAATATTTATTATAATTTACAAAGGGATAGGCCAATAAAAAATAAATTTAGAAGATATATTTTGAAACTTTATAGCAATTTGCAAAATTTATTAATTTATTATTTGTTTACTGTCTATATACATGTAAAGATACATATGCACATATATCTTATATATAATAAAAAGGGGTTTGTGTTTTATATATTTACTTTCCTTTTCAGGTAATTAATATTTATTATAATTTACAAAGGAATAGGCCAATAAAAAAGAAAAAAGTCCTTTTCAGATAGTTAGGAAAGCGTGTCTCTACTAGGTAGTGGCAAGCAATTAAAATACACCTAGCTGGGGTTTCCCAAACTGAGAGTTGTAGACCCCCTTAGTGAATCAATCACTAAATCAATTTATTGGGATTGGCCAAGATCTAAAAAATAAATAACAAAGAAAAGAAGATATTAGAATCTATTGCACATGTTATTTGATAGAATGTGATTACACCTGTACTGAGTTGTGATGAAAAATTTATTTCTACACAAGCCATTGTCAAAATGGTTTGAAAGTTATTGTACCAAAACTGAGCTAATATTCTCAAGGGTGTCAATGAATCTAAATTTACATTCAGATTTGCTAAATTCAAAGAAATTACTTTATGGATGTAACTGCAGGTACTTGAGCAAACAGTTGTAACTGCTTTCAGCAAGCTCATAACACCCCTTCTAAGACACTCCACCTACACCGTCTAATAGTTTGGACTATGCTGGAGGCCACTACTAGAATACTTTGTGCTCCATGCAGGCAGAGAGAATTTTTTAAAAATAAGTAACCCATATTTGGTCCCGTATTCTACTTTCTGCATATGGATGTCTAATCTTCATCTCAAATTTATACAGACAAAATCAAAATTTAACTGCAATTCCAAATGTGCTCCTCCAGTTTCGAGCCTACCATCCACCTAGTTATTTTTCAGATTCCAGTCGTAGGGTTTGTTTCTGACTGTTCTCATTCTTATTCTCTTCACATCTTATCTGATGGCAAGTCTATAGGTTCCATGTCCGCAATCTATGATGAACCTGATCATTTCTCCCATTTACCCTGGCACATCCCTGGTACTTGGACAACTCTAATAGCATCCTAACTGGCCTCCCCACTTCCTTTTTGAATTTCCTAATATCCATTCTCTACATAGCGGCAGAATAAGCTTTCAAAATGTTCATCAGACAACTTTGCTCCTATTTAATATTCTTCGTTGGTTTCACCTTATACTGAGAATAATGCCTACAATCTTTAAGTGATGCACAAAACTTTAGAAAATCTTGTTTTTTTCCCCCCTTGTTCCTCAAATGAATCTTATATGACTTTCCTCCATGGTCAGCACCCATGAGTCAAAATGAACTTATTTCTTTACATTGAATATGCCAAGCTCATTTCTGAATTAGGACATTTGTACTTCTTTTTCCATTTACTTGGGACTATTCTTCATCCAGACCTCAGGTCAAAAATTACCTACTCAAACTCTTTCTTGAGTATCCCATTTTTACATCATTTACAGATAATTACTTTCCAAAGGAAATTAAGCATGGGATGCCATTAAATTTTTCTGAATGTAGTCTCTCATCAAGAATCTTAGTTGTCACTGCAATGCCAATTTTGGTGTGATGTATTTGTTGTCACTAAAAATGTCCACTACAAAGAGAAGACATTTGTTAGCAAGCCAATGGAATCAGAAGAGCTTCCAATATGAGGTCCAGTTACAAGAAAATTAAACACAGGTAAGCAGATAATTTCCCATCAGGACATGCTTGAATTTAAGCTGGTGGAGACTGCAAAACCAGGGCTTACAGGGCTGGAGTAGTGGCTAAGAGTCTAGAGGCCTCAAGGTGTAGAGATAAGAGGACAGACTCTGAAGTCAGGGCATTCTGGTGCCAATTTTGAATTTACCACTGACTAGATGGGGGAGCTTGTGTAAGGCACAGCCTGACTGTGCCTCTATATTCTCATATGTAGAATGAAGACGTGAGTGTATCCATCTCCTAGAGTTATTGTGTGGACTCAATCAGTTAATATAGAAAGTATTCAGAATGGCACCTGGTATTAGTCAGCTAATATTACAGGGCACAGATTCTACCGTAAAAAAGTATAAACATGAACCCAAATGTTTGATGTTGTTTTTAGAGTACTCATAGAATAAATTCACTTATCATTCACTCACCAATATCTGCACACTAAAAAGAGGAGAGGAAAATAAAGCATATGTCCTTTGGGGAAGGCAGAAAGAACTATAGGCAGAACAGACATGAGTCAGAGAAAAGAGGGGTGAGGATTATAGAATTAAAAGTTTATGAAGTCTTCAAATACTGATGGTTAGGGTCAAAAGGGCACAGGCTTGAAGAAGCTCCTAGTGGTCAAATTTGGGATAATTTGAGTACCAAAAAGAATAATGGCAATATAATACACATTTAATTTTAAACCAAAAGTGCAGAATGGTTAGGGGATGAGGGGGGAGGGGAGAGGGAAATTGAGGAGAAGGGAGGGAGAGTTAGAAAGCATGAGAGGGAGAGGCAGAGAGATTTTTTCCTTACACATGAATGCCAGCTAAATAAAAAGAAGGGATTATAGAAAAGCAATTTTGCAGCCCTCAGTGTAATACTTGATTTTAGCAGGATCATCAATGGATACTAGGAACCATTGGGTAAAACACTGTAAGAAAAACGGAATATTCTCATGCCTTTATGTATCATTCCATAGATTACTTCTTACTCTCAAAGTAAAGATCTAGCTCTCAACATCTTAACTAAGTTCTCAAAGTTAGTATCAACAATAATGGTGATATTATGTTGTATTCATTTCTATCACTGATGTAGTAAAATTCTATGTAATATTTTCACTACAAACACATTGATCCTGCAAGTAACAAGAAGAAATAGAAAATTTCAGAATGTGGTCAATTGTACCAAACAAATGGTATGAACTTAAAAGTACACACACACACACACACACACACACACACACACACAATAATATTTAAACTAAGTGTGAGGAGTTGAATATTCTAGACTAAGAAGATCAAACTATCAAATGCAGGGTATAAAACTTAATTAGTTCCCCCCCAAAAAAGAAGTATGAAAGTACGAAAGCTGTGCTCATTTAAGAGAATGCTCCTGTTCTTCAGAGATGCCTACTGAAGTATGTAGGTGTACAGTGTGATGATGCCTGTAATTTCCATTTTAAAGGTTCAGGAAAAAAGTATATACAGTAGGTGTCTATGTATGTGTATGATGAAGCACATATTATAAAAACTGTTTAAAATTGATGGAACTACATGATGCATATATAGATATCATTGTGCTCGTCTTTCATATTTGCTGTATGCTTGAGAAACACTTTAAATTAAAACAAAAATGTGACCAAAGCAAAAAATAAGTAGCGTCTTACCTGTTGCATTCTGTGCTCCTGCCAGCCTGGCCCTTATTAAGCCATGTCTCTCTTTGAGGCGAAGAATCCGAACTTTTGGAAACTGAGACATGTATTTATCCAAATCATCTTTTAGGTAGTCTATATCAGAGTAAAGACAAACCAGGAAATACTGAATTAACTAGGTCTGGATAGTATCAGAAGTGCCTCCCCAAAGTCAAATGCTGAAAACTATGACATTACTATTATCACTAAATTTTATTCCTTGGGTCATCATTTTATTTTCTGATGTCATTTTCTTGGAAGGATTCTGTCTCAGTTCAATATTCTAAGCTGTCTGATTTTTAAAACCCCAAATCTTGTTTTCAGTGTTGCAAGGTGATACAGTGGGGGGCTCACCTTTTCTGAGTATTTGTCTAGGCTGGGGCAGATTTGCCTTAAAATAAATATAGCTCAGGCTTTTGCACAACTCTGCCTCTAGTCTCAGACCCACTTCTTGCAAAAGCCCCTTCCATGACCCAAGAAAGAGGCTAAACAATATGTGCCAATAAGATGCTTTCATTTTCTTTTCTTTCTTTCTTTTCTTTTTTTGAGACAGAGTCTCTGTTGCCCAGGTTGGAGTACAGTGGCGTGATCTCAGCTCACCATAACCTCCACCTCCCCAGTTCAAGCAATTCTCCTGCCTCAGCCTCCTGAGTAGCTGGGATTACAGGCATGTGCCACCACGCCTGGCTAATTTTGTATTTTTAGTAGAGGTGGGGTTTATGTTGGTCAGGCTGGTCTTGAACTCCTGACCTCAGGTGATCCACATGCCTTGGCCTCGCAACGCACTGGGATTACAGGCATGAGCCACTGTACCAGGTTGACCCTTTCATTTTCTGCTCTGACATCACCTTCCATCCTACCTTTTCTCTCTTATAAGATGGCCATGGAGGGATTCAGCTAAAGAAACACTTTTCTGGGGGTTTTATGAGTTATGTTTATGTGGCCTACAGTCACTTCTGTGTGTAATTAAGGTAATGACAGCTATCTTAGGTAGGAATGGCTTCCAGAAAATTTTCTAATAAGTTTTTCTTAGACAGGACCCTGAAAACTGAATAAGCTTCAGGTCTCACAGAATCTGGACCTGCCCCTCCTAAAGGGACTCTTACCTACTTACTAAGTGGGTACTATTCCTGTTTATGCTTTCAAGGCCACTTTTCAGCCAGTTTTTCTCTGTCATCCCACAGCCTCTTGAGCTCAGTGTGATTAAGGTAGAAACTCTGAAGCTAAAGAAACTTTAGCCCATGTTTCAAGGCTAAGCTGTTCTATTAGCATTGCCAAGTTTTTACTATTTTCTAAACTTTTCTGAAAATTGGGTTCAGTTTTGGGAATTTGTAATGTGGCTGTCAGACCGCCTGCATACACAAGTTATTTGACAACCCAAAGAGTGAGATTCTTCACTGTAATCAACAAAAACAAACATAAAAGACGGTGGATTCTGCTATGGAACTTTGTTGGAATCACCTCATCTCTCTTGTCCTATTGGCAATTTGTCTTCTTAATACTTAACTGACATATCACATGCCTTGCTCTCAAGGAAGAAGCCATAGACCTCCATTTCTTTGCCTTCCATAGAGTCTAACTCTAACTCCAGTTATTACTGGTAGGCAAGGCTTCCCTTTAATTGTGATTCTATTAAAAGGGATTTGTGCAATTGTAGAGAACATCTAAACTCCGATACTTCAAAGTGCTCATCTCCATGGAGCTGTAGTTAGAAAATCATTCCGACATGGTAGGAGAGTTACAATGAGACAACTAACTGAACAGAGTTCCAGATGACTTTTAATAGTCATAGGTGCTTAGAGTTAGGCCTATAAGCACCACATAAAATAGTGCATTTGTACAATGTTTATGCTTTGTCAAATTATCCTATACTTTTGCCATCCAAATTGCTACCAAACTTTGCTTCTGCGAAACTTTGACATTTCAAGAGACAGCCTGAGTGGTTTTCTTACCTTTGGTGCTGAAGTCATCCACCAGCAGAATCTCCTTGATGAGGTGTGGAGGAGAGCGATTGAGGACACTGTGAACAGATCTCAAGAGAGTGGACCACACTTCATCTACAAAGCACATGATGACACTGGTGGTCGGGAGGTTATTGTGAACTAGCTGCTCTGTACACCTGGGTCAGAACACAAGCAGAGCACAAGAGATCTGCTAAGGAGATCCACAAGATGGTTTTAAAAAGTCACTGAGTATGATGGTATGCATATATACACACTCAATCTGTCATTGATTTCTCTGGTCTGTCTATCATCTATTTATATGTACCAAAGATGATTTTATTATTTATCATGTGCATTTTCTTAGGGAAGGGTACATGCAAAATAAAAAAAGCAAGAGAATAAGTCGTAACAGTGGTTGTTGTAAAAGGATTAGTGATGCAAGACAAGAGAATGTCCCATGGAAGCATCACACTGCAGTGGAAAGGACACGGGCTTTATAGGTGGTTAGGCTCTATTTTGAATCTCATGGCCAATATTTCTCAGGGCTTTAACCATTAATGCCTGCTTTAACTTCTCTGTGCCTCAGTTTCCTCATCTACAGAATGAGGCAATAAATGGTTTTTATTTAATAGAGTTTTGTAGCCTAGTAATAATATACATACCAAGCCTTGCAGGGTTCCTTACACAGGAATTGATGAAATCGTAGTTATTGTTATTATTGCTAGAATACTAGAAGAGAGCATTCTGACTTATTTAATGTTCCCAAGTACTTTCTGATTGCCCTTACAACTGCCAAAGTGCCACAGGATCTATTCTTTCTCCCATTCTGCTTGTGAATGTATTTATGGCATAATATATATGTGCCAAATAATTAAACTCTTTTCAGCCTCCCTGTCTGGGGTTCCCTTGCTAAGACTCTGCTACAGAATAGCCACAGTTTAAAAAGCATTTAGCTGGCATAGGAATGCAAACCAAGATACAGTGGGAGTTGGTATTCAGGTGGGTTGCAGCTGGCCTGGGTTTTTCCCATGCCCTGTGGAATACACTGCCTCACTGCTGGCATTCTTTCACCTGCTGCCTGTGCCACTCTTCATAGGCAGTGCCCAGTGGTACCTCACAAAGCATATTTGCCAACTCGCTAACACAGCCACTGTCAGTAATGTGATCATTGATGATGATCATAAATATTATGAGCATTCTATATTATTTCAATGTAGACCTCAAATTACCAGCATCTCTTTCCCTTTCTATTGGTGACTAATCAAAATCATAGTAAAACTCATCCATAATTTTACTGTTAATAAATGGCAGAGCTGGGACTCGAACACTGATACAGTCTGGCTCCAAAAATAACCATTGAGGAAGCCTTAGGTTCACAAGAATAGAAGCAGCTGGCAGTAGATGTGGCACTTTGTGAGAGTTGGCACTTCTGCCAAATAACATGATTACACTTTACTTATTCCATAAATAAAAAATAGGTAAGAGCAAAAACCATAGTAAAGCAAATCACATTTACATGGCACCCTAGTATTGCCAAAGTGCTATTCTGTACATAATTGAATTCAGTCTTCATACCAACTGCTTGAGATACGTATTATTATACACTTCTTCAAATAGAGCAAATTAATCTTGGGAAGTTAAATGACTTACCCACATCATCCACCTAGACAGGATATATAAGGAAATGTGAACAAATAATGTTTTCACTTCACTGCTGGTTTTTCTGTAGGAGAATGGGTTTTGGAATTAGATATATATGTGCTCAAATATAAGTTTTTCTAATTATTCATTTGGAACAGTTTAACTACTTTGATCATCAATTTGCCAACTACAAAGCAGAAATTAAACATCTACCTGTAAGATTACATTTAAATATTGCATAAAACTTATCTCATATATGTCTGACACATAGCAAGTACTTAAGAGATGGTAGGCAAATCCAGCTATGCTCCCTAATTTCAATGGCTTCCTAAATGGTTGTTTATCATAATAATTGACAAAGCCTTAGAAAAACATAAATAGCCAATCCTCGGCCCCAGAAAATCAATTTACAAGGTTTGCAGAGGGCCTGAGAATCCATTAAAAAAACAAACAAATAAAACAAAACACAAAGAAACCGACCAATGGACAAAAGAATGACTCATAAATCATTGATTGGTGAATTTAAGAACTTGAGCTCTAAGTTAATTTATTCTTATTATTTGAGGCTAATATTAAAAAAATAAATTGAGGGCTGATAGGAGCATGTCATAAATGTTCAAGTGACATAGAATTAAAATAACACATTTTGATTAGGTATCTTGATGTAGTGATTACGTATCTAATGCTAACATAAAATAGCGGACTATGTAAACTTATATTAGTCTACACAAAGGACCCATGCCTTGGCATTTCTGAATAATATGATAAGATGTTCCTGTCTTCGCTTAAGAGCTTTATCAGTTTCCTTTGGCTGCCATAACAAATTACTGAAAATTCTGCTTAACAGTTTCTTCCTCAATTTATCTCTTTTCTCTCACATTTTTACTCTAAACAGAAAGAAGATACCAGGCCGCACCCTCAACATTTTGCTTGGTACTCTCCTCAGCTAAATATTCAAGTACATCATTGGCAAGGTCTGCTAATTTTCACCTGACTCTAGGATACAATTAAGCCAAGCTTGCTGCCACTATGTGACATGGGTCATCTTTCCTCTGTTTCTCAATCATGCGCTTTGTATTTCCTTCTGAGCCTGCACCAGAAGTACTTACCATGCTCATATTTTTGCCAACATTCTGCTCAAAACAGCATATGTATTTTCAAAGAGGATTGATAAAAGCTTTCTCTGCAGTGCCCCTAACTTCCTTCTGATCCCTCATCAACAGCATCCCTGATTTCCATATTTCTACCAACAGCATCTTCAGGGCATTCTAAGCTTTTTCTATGATGCTACTCAGAATTCTTCCAGACTCTAGCTAATTCCTTGGTGTATTAGGCCACTTTTGTGTTGCTACAAAGAAATCCACCTAGCCGTGTGCCTGTAATCCCCGCATTTTGGGAGGCCAAAGTGTGTGGATCACCTGAAGTCAGGAGTTCAAGACCTGCCTGACCAACATGATGAAACTCCATCTCTACTAAAAATACAAAAATTATCTGGCAGGTGGCAGGCACCTATAATCCCAGGGAGGATTGAAGAAGGTAGAATCACTTGAACTGGGGGGTAGAGGTTGTAGTGAGCTGAGATCGCACCACCACCCTCCAGCCTGGATAACAGAGCAAGACTCTGTCTCAAAAACAAAACAAAACAAAACAAAACAAAACAAAACAAAAAAACAAAACAAAAAAAAAAGAAGAAAAGAAAGAAAGAAATTCTTGAGACTGACTAATTTATAAAGTAAAGAGATTTAATTGGCTCCCGGTTCTTCAGACTGTACAGGAAGCATGGCACTGGCATCTTCTTAGCTCCTGAGAGGCCTCAGGGAGCTTTTACCCATGGCAGAAGACACAGTGTCATGCTCTTGCAAGTCGCATGACAGAGCAAGCAAGAGAGACAATAAGGTGAGGTCCCAGACCTCTCTAAACAACAAATCTTACATGAATCAAATACTTGGTTTTAGAACAGAATTCTAAAACCAAGATGTCAGCAGGGCCTCCCTCCCTCCAGAGGCTCCAGCGGAGATTCTGTTCCTTGCCTCTTCCAGCTTCTGCTGGCAATCCTTGCTTGTTGCAACCCTTGACCAACATCCATACCATATCACTTGGCTATTCCTTTGATGATACTTCTGTATTTTTAGGTATTTGTTATAGCAGACTCTCACTTCCTGATATCAAAATCTATATTAATTTCTTCTGACTGCCATGACAACTCACCACAAACTTGGTAACATATTCTGCCACATTTCTAGGGGCCAGAATTCTAAAACCAAGATGTTAACAGGGCCTACCTCCCTCCAGAGGCTCCAGTGGAGATTCTGTTCCTTGCCTCTTCCAGCTTCTGCTGGCAATCCTTGCTTGTTGCAACCCTTGAATCTCCCTCTCTGCCTTAACATCACTTTCTCCTCTGTGTCTGGGTGAAAACTCTGCCTGGCTTTGTTTCATACGGATACATGTGATTTAGGGCATTTGGGGCCTATCTGGGTAATTCAGGTTAAATGTCTCCTCTCAAGATCCTTCATCACATCTTTTCCTCAGAAGGTAATATTCACTCTCTTGTCAGGTTAGGTAATAGTCACAGGTTCTGAGAATTAGGAAGTGAATACAGTTTTGGATGACCATGTCTTTTTGCCTGCCACAGAGCTTAATGAGTTAAAGCAAGAAATATGCCGTTTTTGAGAAAAAAAATTAAAACAGCTTCCCTACCCCTCAACAAAAGGTAGGTTTATTTTGAATTTATGGAATTGTAAGTCATACAATTTTTCCCCTACATTTGAAGCTTCTTTGAAGTTTTAGGAATTTGCACATTGAAGTCCATGAAAGTGTTAATTGTTGATACCAAATTATGAACTATAATACTGAAACTCAATTTTAGAAAGATTATTAGAAAAAAGAAGAAAGAATATACATTGAGAGATTTCCAAGAAGTGCATAAAAAGTTAGTCTATTTGGTTGCCTAATTACCAACAATTCCAACAATTAAAGGACAATTTTGGAACTAGACACACTTTAAACTCTGAAATGTTTTTCATAAGGCAAAAAAGGAAACATCTTTAAAATAAGGCTTTAATTCTCGAAATCTCTTGTGGCAAACATTAAAGACCAGAATGATGAGACTAAAGTTTCCCAATGAGGGAATGGGTGGGACTAGAGTACAGTGAACTACGAAGTAAAAGGTAAATGAGCAATGAGACACCCTCTCATACCAGTCAGAATGGCAATTATTAAAAAGTCAAAAATCAACAGATGCTGGCAAGGCTGTGGAGACAAGAGAATGCTTATACATTTCCATACTGTTAGGAATGTAGTTCCTACCAATTAGTTTAGCCACTGTAGAAGGCAGTTTGGAGATATCTCAAAGAAATTAACACAGAACTACCATTTGAGCAAGCACTCTCAGTACTTGGTATATATCCAAATGAAAATAAATCACTCTATCAAAATGATTCAGGACTATTCACAATAGCAAAGACATGTAATCAACCTATGTGCCCCTGAATGGTGAATTGGATAAAGAAACTGTGATATATCTATACCATGGAAT